TTCAGCTACTGTATTTTTAAAAATCATGAAACTATTAATGGAATCTTTAATGGAGTACTTAATTTGGTTCTTTTTCCCAGATTCGTCTCTTGTCACTTTTTTACTAATCGGAACAAATACTGCATGAAGTAAACAAAATATAATTGCATGTTTTCCATCTGCACATAATAAAAGAATATAATTAATAAAATAATAAAGAATATCAAATTTTTATGCATTTATTTATCTTTTATTTATCAATTTTACAGAAGTAAATGTTCATGCAACCCATCAAAAGTAGACCAGAAATTTAATATTGACTAACATAAAAGCTTTTAAGTAGTTTTTAAAATTCTTACTTTCACTTGTATAAGGTGTGTTCTTTAGCTGCTCAAACAATGATCTACTTGATGGATCTTTAATTTTTACTTCAAATAGTTTTAATAATTTATTGAATTTTTCATCAAATTATGAAACTAAATTACAATTTGGGTACAATGTATTGAAATCAATTTCAATCTGAAAACATACAACATATTAAGTTAATTTCCTACCATAGGTGTGTACATGGGTATGCAGGGTATGCTATTTCAATATTGCATACCCAGTGACTTCAAGAAGGTAAGGTGAAAATTAAATGTAACTCAATATTAATAAATTAAAAAAATGGTCTCGGAAATATATATTAATCATGTTATAAATAATTTAAATTAAAAAACCCTTATGCTGGAAAAAAACATAGACTTGAACTTAAGGTATCTAATATATAAAATTCTCGTGTCACAGTTTTCGTTGCCATACTCCTCCGAAATGGCTTGACAGATATTGATGAAATTTTTTGTGCATATTCAGTAGGTATGAGAATCGGCTAACATCTATTTTTCATACCCCTAAGTGATAAGGGTTGTTCAGAAAAAATAAAAGAAGTGCTAAAACAGGGATTTTGATAATTTACGGTAGAAATAATTGTTTATAAATGGTTGCTAAGGTATTGGTTATATATAAAAAAAAAATAATAGATACAACATACAAAAATACATACACACTTCTACGATCAACCCTTATTTTTTAATAGCCATTTTAGTAATTTAATCATGTTTCCTACACTAGAAATTACTAGGAAATTATTTATATGGCAAAACAACGTTTGCCGGGTCAGCGAGTATACTATAAATATTAATGTTTTTATAAAAAGTTACAAACAAAGTAAGTACAAATTATCAACTGTAAGACATAAATTGAAGTTTATTACTTTACTTTTTTTTATGTTTAAGAGGAAAAGTGCCGCCTAATTTTATTTTTTGGGGCCCAATTTTTGGTCCTCTAAATGAAATCTGTGTATATTAATGTTTCCTACACATTATTAATGACAATTGAATAGTAATAATACTTAAAAAAGAATTAGATTAATGTTTCATTATAAATGTTTTATGTTTTAAACTTTTAAATGAAATAACCAATACTTAAATTAATAAATACCTAAGTTATTTGCATTGAAGAAAATTGTAAAAATTACACTTAAATTATTTCAATACTAAATGCAATCAAGCATTTAACTCAATATTACCTAAAATACCTCTGTTGTCAGTTTTTATACTATACAACTTACTAATTTATATCCAAGTGGCACTAAATAGTTCTTCCATTTTTTGGTTATTTCATCAGTTGAAGATGCTTTTTGAATATCATCTACTCTGAACTTTGTTGTAGCACTCCATAAAGTTAGTAACTCAGGAAATGTTATATCAGAGTCATAAAATATTGGATCCAAAATATGTTGGATATCACATTCGGGCTCTGTAAGTAGCTATACATATAAATTAAAATTATATAAATCTATATTTATCATTTTATTTTGATTATAAAAATACCAAATTGTCTATGAGTATTTGTGTCTACTGCAGTTACTTTATTGTCGATAACTAAACCACTAGTTTTAAGTAACCTCATGGAGTTATACAATTTGGCATATATCTTTCCTTTTGGATTTTTATTTAATCCGCCTCTCATAAAATATGTATCCTACAAATATGACAAGTATTTATAAATATTTATAATATATTTTAGTTTTAAAATTTAATTTACCTTGACTTCTGTAGGAAACAAATTCTCTACTTGAGTAGCAATATTTTCTGAAAGATTCACAGACATTGATAATTTCTTTGTTATTACATGATTAATAATTAATTCAACTAGCATTGTACGGATCGAATCATTTAACTTCTTGTTTGATTTAAAGTAGTTTATAATCATCATTCATTGTGTAGAAGAATTTAAAATTTCTGATAAATCTAAATTAATCAACTGTTTCTGTAACATTAGGTTATTTATTTGTATGTTAGTAAAATCATTGTTTTTTAATATATTTGAGTCAACAACTGAATTTTCGTTCTGAGGCAACTGGTTATTTTTTTGCCATTCCTCTAATTTATGTGTAATTATTACTTTTGTTCCAATAGGAAATGATGAAAGCAATTCATTGGCATGTTCAAATTTCATTATTTGTAAAACTTTAATATCAACTAATTGATCTAAATATGTGAATAGAAATATAACAGATATAATAGTAATGTAATAAATAATGTCATTAATTAATTATAGGAATAATATTTTCTAATAAATTCATATTACCTATACATGTTTAATACAATACTTCTAATTTCCACTCTTTTAATAATTTTTTTAAAGCCTGATCATTATTATTTAAATACTGTTGATTTAAGTCATTATTCGTATCTACATTTAAATTTTCAGTGTATGATAATGGGTGTAAATATTGTAAATCCTATTTAAACATAAAAATATATTATAATTATTATTGAATATTTTTACTACATTTTTAAAAAATATTAGCTAGGTACTGACATTATTATAATTACTTGAGCTGCTATTAAAATTATTTTCTTTGTTAACACAAGCATTTAACGGATAACTATCAACATCAAATAAAGAAGTATTTGTGATAGCTTCTAAATTTGACACACAGGGTTCCATATTTGTTTTATTTTTTTTACATGTATTATAATATTATACGAATATTGTACTGTACCTAGAACTAAGTATAACTAGTATTATCTGAAAATGAATGTAAATTATAGTTAATTTTGAATATTATAAAGCATAAACATAAATCTGAAAATTAAGAATATAATTTTTTCCATTAAGTAAGTAATTAATGTAAAAAATATTTGATTAAAAAAATTCTTTTAATCTAATAATTAATTTTCCAGATGATATTTTTGTAATATTAATTAGTGGACCACTGAATTCACTTATATTACAAATCATATTATTATTAGTTATTGTTAAATTATCATCAAATTCAAATGCTTCAAAGTGTGAATTGAAATGTAAAAGTTTAATTTGTTTAACTAGTATATTGATTGTTTCACTTGATTTATTAACTATCAGTTCAGAAATTTCAAATAAACACATTTCATTTAAAAACTGTTTTAAATAGTATCCTTTTTAGATTCTGAGCGGAGCGATGAATGTATTGGTTTTACAATGATGTATGTTTTTATATTTTTATATTTTTTTATTTTTTCTTGTGTGTCATCACTTTTTGGGACAGTAAAAGTGCTTGGATTTTCTTCATCAGTAGCTTTTCTGATAG